GATCCTTGGGAAAGCTAGCTCCGCTGCTAATAGTTCAACTTATCCCTTTCCAACATCCTAAATACGAATATTACTAGGCTTTAGTATTTGTCCATATTAATAAGGGTTTTATTACTATTTTCCCGGATTCCTCAACAATCCCAATGAATACATCGAGATCTATCAAGTAAGGAATAACCAGGTAAGATCACATCGGAAGTAGGATTCGTTTGGCATACAGAGTATACTGTTTGGAAAATCCACTTTAAACACCTCACTAGATCTAGCCTAGACATCACTCTCGTAAGTAGACCAATCAATATTATGACATGAAATCATTGATAAATCTTGTTTATAGGTTCATAATAGCAGTAATGAACTTAAACATAAGTTACACTTAGAGTATAACAAGTGCAGCTTGACTTACAAAGTTTTTGATGAAAAAACGAAAAGTTCGCAAGCAGAAAGTACGAACCGAAAGCTTCTATTCGCCGGGCTCCTATATATCTTAGAGCTTTGCTAAAGTATCCCAAGAACCCCAAAATTTCATACTTAAGTTGAAAGAAATTCTCCAAAGGAATGGAGAGAAATATGTGTGAAATGAGGCATATTTATAGGGAATTTAGGGAGGCGTGTTGCGCCATAAGCCAAAGGTGTGCCGCGCCTCAAAGGCGTGTCTGGTCCTTTGAGGTGTCACATGTCATGCGCCTGTTCGTCCACATCGTCCGGTTAGTAGCCGCTTCATCTTTGCCACGGTCCGATTCTCATGGAGGCATGTGTCATGCGCTCAGTGGGCCACACCATCATATCGGTTGGGAGACTCTTTCACCGCCTTGCCACGTGGCGCGCTCTCGGGCCGCCACGTCACCAGGCAAGGTATTTTTCACAAATCTTCAAAAAGCAATAACCTTTTCATACGAGCTCTATTTTTGACGTTCTTTATATCCACACGTAGGTAATTCCGAGTACTACAACTTTCCTTTAGATCTTAATAACTAATTCTCACTCTATTTTAAATTCATATTTTTATAGAGATTACAATGTTAAAGTCCGTGCGAAAATCATAACTCCTTCATACGAACTTCATTCTTGATTGTTTCTATATCGACGAATTCGTATTTATGAGATCTTCAACTATCGTTTACATTGTTTTGGCGAAAATCAACCGACCTAAATTTTGATTTTTGTGTCGCACACTGATGTACTGTGTCGCATCGAAACTTCAAAAAATCCATAACTTCTTTATACGAAGTCATATTTAAGCGTTTCTTATATCCTTGAGATCGTTATCACAACTGCTACAAATTTAGTGAAAATTATTTATCCTAAATAATATTCTAATTAAAATGTTATTTATTGCTCGTAACGCGTATGATGAATAATTATCCTATTCAAGGATTTAATTATAAATAGTTATCACTTATTATATTTTAAATGTCTAGTCCGAATTTGTGGGCGCTACAGAATAATTGATCACTTATCTAAGGACTAAATTTTGATTGTGATCAGAGTTTGCCAGTTGCATTGGATGACTAATCTCTGTTGATTATTAAGAAAGTATTAGACCTCATATAGTTGATAACTTGTGCAAGTGGGAGACTGTTGGAAGTAATGTCCAATGTCATTAAATATTAGTGATATTTATAATAATAATAACATGGTCCTTTTGTGTTGGCTTCATGATACAATAAGCAATAAGGAAAAAAGAGAAAAAAAAGATAAGCTGTTAATTTATTGTTAATTAATAAATTAATTGAAAATTATTTTGAAATTCATTAAATAGTTTTAGTTAATTAAAGTGGTAGAATATTAATTAATTCCTTGAGATTAATTAGAATATTCCAGAACCCTCCTGGATATAAGGAGGGGATGGTTTTGAGAGTCCTAGATAGGGATAAGACAGGTTTTGAACATGATAATGATTATCCTTATGAATCTAACCAACTTAAGGATTTAAGTTGTTGCCTATAAATAGGGTGCTAGGGATCAAACCCTTTAAACTTTTTCTCCCTAGAAATCATCGCACCTTTTCTCCTCTCTCATTGAGTTTGAAAATTATAACATCTCTCTAATGTTATAGAATTTTCGAAATTCCTTTTCTGAATGGCTTTGAGAGTCCCTGATTCCACTAGATGGATTCTCCTTTAGGTCCTTTATCCATTGCAAGAGCTGGCAGTCACAATGTGAAAATTAAGAGATCAAATTTTGGTTTAGTAATTCTATCTTTTTTAATTCAAATGTATGTTTTTATAACTAGTAAAACCTTGATCCTAGGATGCATGTACACATAGGGATTGTTTTGATTATTCCGCTACGTATATCTAGTGTGTATAGTTATATTAAAACCCACTAGTGTGTATTCCCCTTATAGCCCTTCCTTGCAAGCTCTTTTGTATATCGAATATGTTGCTTCCATAATAAATATAAGACAAAATTTTGAGAAGAGCGTTCAAGAAGGCCATTAGGAATCCATGGTAGGAAACTACAAACCAGTTGTCCCAAAATCATTCAAAAATCACAAATGCTGAACTTGCACTGGAAAAACAAACCCAAAGTTACAATTAGTTTTAAAGAAAACACATTCGCTTTAATCTACATTATGTGACTTGACCGATCCATTTTCTAAATGAGATTCATAGAGAACGTATACAGTTTACCGTGCTCCATCTATTTTTGTTTATCATCTTTATAGCCCCTTAAAACATGCTCAAACTCGATAAATTTAAACCACACATCTAATTGATTCCTGGATGTGGAAATAAGAATGTAGATAACCAATGGCCTGAGAAAAGAAATAGTTGATGGAGGTAGAAGCATACCCATCAATTTTAAATATGGATAAATCCATGATTTCTTGCTTTGGAATTCAAATTGCATGACTGTTTTTTGGGAAATGAATGATGGTTACCTAAAAGATAGTCTGAACTTAAAATAGAGGAGTGCAATGGCATGCGAGTTTTAAAGGCTATAAGGGTATTTTCAGCATTTCATTTAGATAAAATGAGCAAGATAAGAAGATGAGGAGGGGTGTAGACAAAGCCACATGGCAAAAATGTACTCTTTTATTAGATACTAGGTTAATACACGTGGAAACCACGGTTAAGAAAGAAAAACACTATTGATAATTTCAATCGTAATGACTAATCAAAGATTTGCAAAACATTTACTAATTTACAAAGATAGAAGTTTTGTCTGTAAATTTATAATGAATAGTGAAAATTTATATATACATTATTATGAATATCTGATTTATGTTTTGTATGTGTAGATATTTGATAAAATCATAATTTTGTATAATGGAATATAAATTTGAATAGAGTAAAAAGATAAAATGAGTTATATGATAAAAAAAACATAATCTTTAATTATAAATTTGCAAACCATCATTATATATAATAATGAATGTATGTCGGTAAAAGTATGATTGTTAAGTATAACTAATATCTGAAGTGGATTGAAAAAAATAAATAACATGCTAGGTGGTTAGTTGTTTTTCCAGTAAAAAAATTATTGTTTGAGTAGAAAATCACAAATACATTTCTACTATGGTAAATATTAAAGTATAAAGACCATAACAGTAAAAATGACAAAGTATGTTGCTATATTTGTTTGAGGGTTAATCAAGTAATACTTTCAATAACTAATTAAAAATGTATAAAACATCACATGGTTTAAAACGTTGTTTTCGAAAATAAAATTTGAAATTTATTCTTTCAAAGTATCCAAAAGAAAGCATAAAAATGTTTTTTTTTTCCTGTGATGGGCTATCTTAGAGCATCTTCAATAGAAGTTTTTTTTATAACTTATTATTATAGATTTTTTTTAATTGACCACTTAATACCATTGAATTAACTCTTATATAAATAAAGAACGGATATTGTTGTATTTATACATTCATATAAAAATATGATTTGCGTTTAAAAATTTACTAATTAAATGAGGAGATTTTTTTAAAACATTTAGATAGATGAAGTTATATTAGTTAAATTTATTTAAAAAAAAACTACTTAAATAATCTAAATAATCTAAACCATATGAATGGTCATTTATTTAGAGATCAATATTAGTGGACGGATGAGTTGATATCTATTTTAAGTCATAAAATATTGTAAATAATTAAAAATATGTTGACTACTTTATATATTGAATGGTGAAAAAAAAAATTATATAGTTGAATGGTACTAAGTGTTGGATAAATAGAAATCAATAATTATAAATTATAAACAAAACCTTTAACGAAAATTCTCTAAGAAATAACACGTTTTATTTAGTATTAATATATGATCATATTAATAAATGATTAATATAAAAATAAAGGACTATATACGTAAAATCTATTAATATATAAATGATGATTTATATTTAAATATACAAAAGATTAAAAACGAAAATAATATATAGCATGAGGTGGTGTAATTGTATAATTTGTTTAAATTTGTGATGGGTTTGATCTGATAAATCGTATGAAAAACCTTACAGATTAAATGTAAAAATACTTAAACAACTTACTAAATAAAAACGAAAATTGATTAAGAAAGGATTCAAATTTATCCGTATAATTGGGAATCACATCAATATTTGTCTAGTCGTCATTACACTTTAAGGAATTTGACTAATCTTGGTGGTATATTAAATGATCGAAAATAATGACATAGAAAGAAATTCGAATTGAAAAAGTTAAAAGCAAGTTAGTAATTTAACTTTAAAATTAGAACATTTTGGATAAGCCATGTCACAAAAATTGATTTATTTATTAAAATAGGAAGCCGAAGATGAAGATATAGAGGTAGATATAAACGATTTAAATTAACTTTTATATTAAATTGACAGCAGATATAAATATTCTTACTTTTATTATAAAATATTTTAGATCGATACCAAAACTAAAAGAGCAAAATTATTTTTCCTAAGACTTTTAATTTAAAAATATAAATCACACCTTTTTCCAGTTAAGCTTTTAAACATAAGCAATAAAAAAAGGGCCAAAAAAAATTTAAAAAAATAATATAAAGCTAGAACGGTCAAACCCTAACGTCAGGAACATGCAAACCGCTACCATGGTTGTGGGTCCCAGTCGCAATACCATTTTCAGTTCCATTGGCGTCTTTTTTCTTCCCCCACTCGTGTAACCGGAGATGCAGCTCCGCCGCCGCGATCAAGAAATACACTGCCTGTATCGGGGTTAGAATCTCAATAACTGTCTTCAACGTCTCCAGTCTCAGATCATCCGCCATGTGTAACAACTCCTCCAAATTATCCTTCTTCGAATTCAACATCGAGTCCACTTTCTCCTCATTCTCAGAATCTACTTCGCCGTCTTCCGTCCTGATCATTTCCGACACCACGTTAGAAAGCTCCACCATCGACCGGTCCGCCGCCGCCTCCTGTTCCTTGGCGTATTTCTCACTTAATACTCTTTCTTGATGTATGACTTTCTTCTGTAATTCGTCGATTCGATTCATCTGATTCGGTGCCAAATCTCCTAGATCCCCAGTCTTCAATCCACGGATTAGATCACCGATTTTAGCCTCTAATTGAATTCCTGATTTCGAGTACAAAAGGTGGATTGCTAACGTCGGCCGCCATCCTCCGATCCACAGAAACGCATCCTCAAGCTTGCTCCGCCACGCAGGCGAAAACATCGAAATCGCATCTCGTTTCTCCCAATTTGATTTCGCCTGGTAGTACTGCTCGTAATGCCTGACAACTCTCTCGATCAATGGAATCAGAACGGCGTCGTCATTTTCGGTCGGGTTGTGGTTGTTAGCGACGGAAACAAGTTCTTCAAGGTACGAATTCTGCTCGCAGATCCAACACTCGAAGAATTTATGGAATGTTTCACGGTGAGGATTATCTGCATTCATAGCTTGCGCCATAAAAGCTGCGCTGTTGGGCCTGACTGACATTATTTGTAGAGATTGCAAGTTGCAGAATATTGGATTTTGGAGGTGGTGATGACGACGATGGAAAAGAGGGAACTTATTTCGGGGGCGCAAGTTGATTCCAAAACATCCGCCAAAACCCCAAAACCACTAGGGTTTATATGCATGCATCTGAAGAAATTGAAAAACAATGGGCGAATACTATTAGCAAATTGACAGCTTTGGTCCCTTTCTTTGTCACTTTTTATGCTTTGTCCACATGCAAGTTTTATATTCGGATATCATCTCATCAAACTTAGATTCATTGATTTTGACTTCTCAAAGGCATCGTATGTTCTTTTACTCTTTATATTAAAAGAAACAATCAAATAAATACACACAAATAATAATAATAATAATAATAATAATAATAATAATAATAATTAGAGAACCAAAGTACTAAATCTCAACGATTAAATCATTTATGAGTAGAATAATAAATGTGAGTTAGTAAATGTGAGTTAGTCATTTAAAAAAAAAACATGATCAATATTGTTACATCATTCGATCATGATTTAGTTATCTTCAAAATGACGTTTTGAACGCTATAGAAGATGAAGAAGGATGTTTGTATGATGCCTTAATTAATTATTAGAGGCAATTTGTTATGCCTTTGATGATAAAATGATATCCCAAAGTATTTTTTTTTATATAAATGTTGTTTCATTATAAGATTCACATGAGAATTCGTGATTTGGCAATTCTATGGAACATGCCACATTCATATGTGAATGTAACTACTGAATATTAACATATGAATTATGTATCTTAATTCCTTATAAAAGTTTGCTTTCATCGTAAGATTTATATGTGCATTCATAATTTGGTGTTTTCTTAGTAGGCTACACATGCCACATTCACATAATGTATTTTTTAATTTATATCGACATTTAATGTATCATCCGCTATTCAATTATAAACTATTTAAATTGATTGAATTCTTTAAAGTTGAGTTTTGGGTAATGTGTAATTCGTGTTGACACCACACTTAAGACACGTCGTGACGGACGCGTCGTGAAGCTTAAGCTTAGCTTCACAAAGCCGCCAGTGCCCAAAACCCTAGATCTCGGGCTTTGATCCATATTTAAAGTATGTGATGCTTAGGGTTTGCTCCATCTTCGGCCTCCATCATCCTCAAAGCACTTTCATCAAACCATAGCCTTTCTCTTTGATATTTGAGCTTATCATGTTTGTTTATGCACCTTGAAGGAGAAGAGTGTGTATTTGGTGAAGTAAGAAAGCAAGAAGCAAGTTAGATTCAACCTTTTGAGCACCTTCTGGATCATTGTAAGTCTTGAAGTTTGAAGCTTTATGTGTTGTTAAGCTTAGATTTATGATTTTACGGATTTTGTTCCTTTTGTTAATGTTTGGTTGAAGTTTGACGAACTCCAACCTTAAAGGTTGTGCTTTTATGTCTTCTGAACCCATTATGGTAAGATGATGAGAAGTTCATCTTTCCATTCTTCCTTTTGGTATTTTGGCCAAAATACCTTGACTCCTCGATGCTCAATCAAATCCTATTCGTTGACGATTGAATTTAGTTCTCGAGTCTCATATTTAGTAAGTCCCGAGCTCTTTCTTATATATCGAGGATCATCAAAATAAGCAAGAATACTATTTCTACGGAGAACACCATTTCTGGGTATTTCCATTGAGATACCTGAAGAAACTATTAGTTGGTTCTCGCCTTCTTGAATCGATTCGAGTGGGATGATGAATCTATTTCTTCGCCTATGTATGAGTTTAAGAGCTTTTTGGTCCCATTTTTAATGTAGACTCGGACTGATGATGTTAAGGATATGCAAATGGATAAAGTTGGAGACTTTATCTATTGTGATTGTATTTTGATGAGTTCTGGAAGTTTAGATTTTGTATCTTAAAGGATTAAGACATGGTTGAAAGCTGGTTGATCTACGAAGTTAGCTCCGCGACATAAGCCTTTGTAGCACCACGACTTTCGAGCCGATCACGAATATTTTGTCGCCAAGTGAATAGCGCCACGATCTTGTGTTGATCGCAGCGAGATAATGTGGATAGTTAACTTTATGACCAAGTTTGAACTGTGTTAGGCTTAGATCCTAGAGGGGCAAAATGGTTGTTTGCTCCTAGATTAGCTTTTAATAGACCTAGATTCTATAAGAAAGTGTAAATAAATGTTTCACCTTAATTATTAAATTAGGGTTATTTATTATGTAGTTTTAGGGAAGACTTGATACCTCTAGCTTGAGTTTGTGGATTTCCATCTTGCCTTCTAGTCATGTGAGTTCTCACGAACTTACTTATTATGTGATATATATATATATATATATATATATATATATATATATATATATATATACATACATACATACATACATATATATATATATATATATATATGTGTGTGTGTGTGTGTGTGTATGTGTGTTATACCATGAAAAGCCTCCCTGATGGAAATAGTCAAAGGACGGTCAACTAGAGAAAAGCCTCTCAGAGGGAATCTAGTTGGATTAAAAGGGTGTAATATTAGGAAAAGCCTCACGGAGGGAAGTGGTCATGTAAAACCCATAAAATTTCAGTAAAATTTAAACTTTCCAAAACAATCCTTTTTCTATAGAAGTGTTTACAAAACTGTTGTTTCCAAAACATTTATTTAAAACCGAAATCATTTACACATAGTTTTTAAAACATTCACAATATCAGAGTTTCCCAGAAACCATAAGTCCAAAACGCGAGGATGTGTACGGTTACGCCTTCGCCTTGCTAAAACATCTGAAGCACCTGAAACAATAAACTGAAACTGTAAGCACAAAGCTTAGTGAGTTCCCCCAAAGTACCAACACACAAACAGTAGCACATATACAAATAACAACATGCATATAGAGTCTTTAGCATGACTGGACCGCCTCACCGAGCCTTCAGCCTATTTGGACCACTCTCAGAGCCTTCAGCATGTCTAGACCGCCTCACCGGTCCTTCAGCCTATATGGGCCGCTCTCAGAACCTACATCATGTCTTGTCCGCCTCGCTGGGCCTTCAGCCTGTATGGACCGTTCTCCGGGCCTTCGGCCTGAATGGTACGCCCCGATGGGCCTTCAGTCTATCTGGGCCGCCCTGAGAAGGTTGGTCTTCAACACAAAGCAGGCCTGCCTCAACCCAACTACACACACACACAAGCCATGTTAACATATAACATATAAGTATACATATAATAATATCATAACAAAAAATATGCATACAGAGTCTTCAGTATGACTAGACCGCCCTCACTGGGCCTTCAGTCTATCTGGCCCACTCTCAAAACCTTCAGCATGTCTGGTCCACCCTACCGGGCCTTTAGCCTGTCTGGACCGTTCTCCGGGCCACCGGCCAGACTGGTATGCCCCGATGGGCCTTCAGTCTATCCGGGGCGCCCTGGGTCTGTTGGCCTAGAGCACAAAGCAGGACCGTCTCAACCCACCCGCAATCACACAATCAACACATAAATATCATACGCTAGCTATCATGTACAGACAGTCATACAGATCTAACAGATCACTAATCATAACATCATCCTATATACCAGGATACCAATCTAACAGATCACTAAACATATCATCATCCTATAACCAGGATACAATCCAAAAAGGGTCGGCCTTGGTGCCTTAGACCCTGTTGATATAGTGAGAAGAACTCACCTCGCGCTACCGAAACATGCAGACGATCCCTGACCGCTGACTGCCAGATCCCGAACCACCATCATCAAGACAACATCCCAACAAAGTTGATTCCATGAATACTCTCCCTGACTGCAGATCTGCTATCATACCCGTGCTAACAGATTCCAAAATGACCATCCATCAATATCTAGACATTGACTCATATAATGAGTCCAAATCAGGGTAAAAGACCTTTTTACCCTTCCTCAAGCTTGGCCTAAAGCCAAGGCCCTAACTAGATGACAAAAAGGCCCAATATCAAAATAAACTCATTAAGTCCAATTATGGCCTAATTTTCTAAATTGGGCCTAATGGCCTTCACTCAAGAAGATCCAGCAAGCTAAAAGCCCAAACCATAAAATCCTAAACGGCCCAATGCAACCAAACCGAATCAGATCCAAAAGGCTCAAATTACTTCAAGGCCCACACTTGGCCAAATTTTCAAATTTGGCCCAAATCCTTACTGGGCCTTTTTCCAAAGGTCCAATCCTCTAATTAGCCCAAGACACACTAATCTAGAGAGTCCATTAGGGCCCAAACATCAAGGCCCACACAGATGGCCCAATACCCGAAGCCCAAAACAAAGGAGCCCAAAACAGTCGCGTACACGGGGCGTACTCTAGAGTTACGCTCAGCGTACACGAGACCTCACATTGACCAAGATATGGGGACGCTGACCGAGTACGCGGGACGTACTCCTCCCTACGTGGGGCGTACCCTTGCAGCTCCAAAAGTCCAATATGTGCTTAATGGCTTAAACACTTAAGCCCAAATTACAGATCCACTACTCAAATGTGCTCTAGAACCATAAAGTCTCAAATTTTAAGACTTTAGACGTCCAAAAGGCCCTTAATACATGGTCTTAATCCATTAAGAACTTCCACAAAGAACATGGAGCCAAACTAGCTCAAGGGACCTCATTTTAATAGCTTAGAACCCTTCCTAGGGTCTGAAAGGACAGCTCAAATCGTTCAAAACAAAGCATGCATGTCAAGGGGACTTTTTAGGACCAAAGAATGCCATAAAGCTACCAAGATGAGATCTAAGCAAACCAAGCATAAAGGTGGTAGATTTTTAACTTCTGGAGCTTCCAAATGAGATGAAGATTCAAGATCCACAAGCTCTCCTTCCTTCCTTGGCTCCTTAATGCACTTCCTTCTCCTTTAAGCACGTAATCAACACTCTTTAAGCCCAAAACACTCTCATATGGGGTTAGGGTTTACTAAGAACGGATCAAGAACTTGGAGGCTGGAAAAGATGAGAGGAAATGGTCCATAAGATGCTTAAATACTCCACAAACTCTAAAAG